ATACGATTGGCACAAGATTAGACAAGCTTGTATATGCACTGCGTCAGCTTAGACTTTAGACGAACGGTGTATATATATATATATATATATATATATATATATACTGCTATATAATACTGCTTGTATTAAGCGCATATTATGGTTACGTTTTTTCGGCGTTATCGTATGGATTAGTAATTTGAGGTAACTCAGCGTACACAACAAAAGCATTCATAATTCAAAGAAAAATGTATTAGAGTCATTTGCGGAGCGATACATCTCGAACCTAAATGTAACCTATAAATACATAAAAAGAATGGTTACTTTATGTCCATAACTTTGCACAATAAATTACCATTAGAAATACAACAATTGCCCCTTGCTTCGTTTAACATGAAAATAACGAGATGGCTCCTAGAAAAAATTATTTAAAATATAGGTATATGGCTATTTGTTATGTAATAATAACATTTAATAATTTGACATATCTCATCCTTTAAACGAGCAATTCTTGTATATATATAATCGGAATCTCGGAAACGGCTCCAGCGATTTTCATGAAATATAGTACGTGCGTAGATTCGGGGGCGAAAAATCGATCTAGCTAGGTTTCATTCTTAGAAAATGTCCTTTTAGCCCTGTTTTCAGGAAATAAAAATATCATTCGAATATGTCAGTAAATTTCGCTGCAAAAAATGTTATAATAGCTCGGTCGGTAATCGGGCGGCACCAAAACAGACGGCCGCGGTTCGTATCACGATCATTTACACACTTATTTTTTTTTTACTTTTTTTTCTATATCAGATCATTTTCTTTATTTTTTATATTTCCAAAATACATGATTTACCAAAAAAACCGATTATCCAGGTAGTATAATCTAATACCGTTAAACAAGCAATTCTTTTAGATATATATTCAGAATCTCGGAAACGGCTCCAGCGATTTTCTTGTAATATAGTATTTGCGTAGATTCGGGAGCGAAAAATCGATCTAGCTAGGTTTCATTTTTATAAAATGTCCTTTTATCCCTGTTTTCAGCGAATGAAAAAATATCATTTGAATATGACGGTAAATTTCGCTGAAAAAAAATGTTATCGCTGAAAATAATGTGACTAAAAATTTTATTAAAACTGTTAAAGCTCGATCGGTAATCGGGCGGCCCCTAAAAAGAAGGTTGTGGTTCATGTCACGATCATTTACACACTTATTTTTTTTATGTTTTTCTATACCAGATCATTGCTTTCTTTGTTTTTTATTTTTTTTATTTCCAAAATACACGATTTACCAAAGAAAAACCCGAGCAAAGCTCGGTCCTCCTGGTACTGTTATTTATAATTGGAAATAATTTATTAGGTATAAATGTTTTAATGTGAAAAATTAAATATCAAATTGACATTTGCATGCTGATGTCAGCTGAATATGTTGCACCAAATTATTATAATTAAGATTACAATTAATTACCACATTCTGCCAATAAAGACATTCATTCATTCGTAAGTTATCAAACTGAAATTATATTTTTTTTACATATTTCAAAAAACCGCACCAAATCTTTTTTATCACCAAATTTTTGTTTTTTTTATGGTAAAAAGGGGAAAACGGATAGGAGGCTCACCTGATCGCTTGGCGGAACACCGAAACACCGGATGGCTTGCAAATGCATTGCTGGCCTTACAGGGAAGAATAATTATCCGGTATTTCCAGAGGTTTAACACGGCGAGCGTTATCCCGACGCGATGTGGTGTGTGAAAAGATGGATATTATTATGTCCATGATGTTCTTGATTATCTATAACAAAGGCAGCGTTAAAACTTTCACTTTCTTAAAGCTATTTCGTAGCGGTCATAGACAGTCTGTAAGAAGTATTGTGTCTAAACCGGATGTGGAACCCCAAAGTAAATCATACTATGAAAATAAGTGTAAGTAATAAACTAATTTATCTGTTGCCTCGTTTGTTAGTCTGATTCTTAATATGGCAAAGACTGATACGGGCGCGAATCTTGAAGACAAGGCTTCAGTTCCCGCAACAGTGAAACACTTTTCAACAAATTTAGTTTTATACATTGATATTTGAAAAATTATGTGTAAGGGAGATTTATGGACTATTTTGCATGGTTTTAATTCCATGTCGCCGATCAACTTAATTGTGTTCATTTTATGTTATTTTTTTAATTCATATACCTTAAAAATGTACTCTCATCGTATAGTTTGGCGCGCGTACTTTAGCGCCGATCGAAATCGAATTTAGAAAACCTCCGTAAAACGCGATAAAATACAAATATCATCGAATGTGTCTAACGCCGTGCGTTATCCTAATGACATGAAACGTTATGCAACTCAAGTGGAGATTTGCGAATATCCACTAGCGACTGGGGCCTCCACAAAGAACACGCGATTCATGAGCATAGCTACATAAACATTTGACGTTATCTACGATCATATGTAAAGACGGATACACAAAACAATATGCGTTTAGTGTAGAGCACTGAAAATAGTAACGTTATAATTGTATGGAAAGACAGATCACACATCCGCATCGTAGTTTAGACAACTTTAAATTCTTTTCCTCAAGTGTAATTTAAGAAAAATATAATTCTTCGATAAAAATCTTTTTACTTTTTACTTGAGTAGGTTGGAAATTTAAAGGTTAACTATTTATGTTTTATTTTATTTGTTTAACGTATTTTCTCCCCTTCACCATATAAACTTTATCCCAAAACTAATGCTCCGTGCGCGGACTATTCTTAGAAAGCGTCACCGCTTTCTAAAAATACTCCATATTGCATATTATGTCTTCTTCTTTGCGCATTATTTTCAGACCTACTCAAAATGCTTTTGAGGTTAGCCAATAAACATTTTGCAGAAGCCGTCGCGCTATCGTAAAGACAACGTCTAAGACAGTGGAGATGCATAGAAAAAATATTCGAAATGATAGTGGCATTCCACTCTCCGAGACAAGCTTTGATATCAAATTGCACGTGCCGTGGCGCTTTGAAAAATCATACGCCCTCTTTTCTTTCCAATATGCCGTGAATTCACTAGTAAGATCGATTTTTAATTGCTACGAGAGCTCCGTCTCACTGGATTTATTAAACTCCAGATGAACATGTCACCATAAATTTTCTTCAATAATATATGCACGGAATATTTGACCAACAGTAAACTTACATTCAATTGTAAATCCTAATAGATTTTTCGTTAATCAAAAACTTAATTAAAAAAAAAAAAAAACGTTTATCATATTTATTTACATAATAGAAAATAGATTGATAATTCATTGCGTTAAGGTCGACACTGAGGTGATACGTGCAATCCCCGTGTAAACACACCAATAAATTTCTTAATGCCAATGCACTGTCACTGTGAGAACTGGACATTTGGTGTAATGTTATAATGGCACCCATATTATCTCCCCGTTATCATTGTACCGCGCGCGAAATTACCTCTCTGTTTGCTAGGGGGGACCACAGATAACGTAACTTCATAGAATATAACGCGAACATTCAGACGCGTGTTAATGGAAAATCGTCTTTGGGCCCTCGGTTTAGTGATACCAATCGCCCGTAGCAGTCACCTCTTCACTTCTATTACGGTTTTGTTTCGTTTTTATTTTTTGTTTCAAACGATTTCATCTATTTAAACAGGTGCGTATGGAAGTTGACGTTTACGAAGGAGTTTCACGTCAACTTTTATTCGCGCTACATTACGAAGGTGGGCTCATCATCTCAATTTGAAGTCGGTTTTGTTTTTCGGTTAGTAAAAAAATGGACTACCAAAACTACCAAAGTTATTACATAACACAACGATTGTGTTAAGAAATGTAATCAGTAATGTAATTAGTTAATTGTATTGAAAATAGAATTAAGTTATTGATTGTACAGTAGGCTTAGTTTGTAAAGTTGTGTAGTGGGTTCGATCTCCATATGGAGGAAAATATGCGGAGGAAACAAAAACAAATATATTATAGCAGTGATATGATATGTCGAAAAGTCAAAAAGTCTGTTTGTTGTTTGTTATTGACTTTGAATTTTATATCATCGATAATATATGTCTGAGTAAAAATGTCAATTGAAAAGTCTATCGTGTAGATTTAATAACACTCTCAGTCCCTCGTGTCTTAAATACGTAATAAATTTTAATCAACTTTATTGACTCCACGTTATTGTCGAAGGCATTTCCTTTGTTAAATACTTAGTAGAGCAGTCTTCACTTTTAAATCTAATATTCCTTTCACATAGCGATCCTCTTGAATAACTTCTTTTCTTTGCTTTGTTTAAAGTGCGAACGAAAGAGCTTCTAAAAAATTTCTTAATCAAAACGAAACTGCTTCCTAGATGTTAAGTCCATTATCGGGTGTCATCTCCTATTAATTATATCATTATTTACCGCACACTCTGCGAGAAGCTGACCGGTTCGTCATCATCATTTCAGCCTATTTGACTCCACTGCTGAACATACGCCGGTTAAAAATTTTATACTAACAGCCATTATTTACCAGTGTAAATGTTATGTTATAAAACGGATTAATTCACCGCGTCAATATGCTTCATTACGCTGTTGACATTGCCATCTGATTTAATGTAGCAATCATTGGCTTCGTGTACCGAGTGTTTTAAATAGCTGTAAAAATAACTATAATTTGCGTGAGTTTATCTTAAGCGTATTCTTTAAACAAATTATGTATTGCTAGGCCGAATATCAGAGTAATTGTACCTTCTATGACTGAGTCCTGACCCATTTTGTCTAAAGCAAACTCAAAATTTCTTTATTTAATATAGACTTAATTTAAGCTCTTATCGAACATCAAAGAAACTACCACCGCTTCGCTAAACTAGATACTTATTTAGATACTTGTTGTTTTCATTTCTTCTACGTATGTATAGACGTATAAACAATATTATTATTTTTTTTATTATCGAAAATACACCACCGGAACGTGCGAAAGTTCCCAATTGCGCTAAGAAAACATTATCGGACAACGCGTGGTCCGCGGGACATCGCGTTTCCCACCACGCGTAGCTATGCCGCGGCCCCGTGTGTGCACTGTACACACCGTACAAAGGACGACATCCCACGGGGCAATGGAACCGCTCGCTCGGCAAATAGAAACCCCGCGACTTATCGACGTCGCTCCGACGTTTAGTGGCGGGCGGCGTACGCGGCGGCTTTGGGATACGCGTGCTACGCCGCCGGGCGACGCGTGGCGCGCTAACGGTGTCCATGAGCACGGGAACGTCGTGGATTTCCCGTTCTCGGCAATGTGAACGGGAAGAGGCCGTAGAGAACGGGGAGTTCACTTTATGATCGACCGCAACGCGCAGTCATTCGCTGCGCCTGAGGTCATATACATCTTTAGAAGAGTGGTTAACAGGATGCGGATAAAATCATGAACACGGATTTGCATCGAGTTGGAAGTTTATTGGCGTACTTGATAGAATATGTACAACCGTTAGACTCGTCGCAATTTAAAAATCCCACGGTTGGACATATTTTTTCAAGTACGATGTTGTCTACGGTTCTCCTATGTGCACACAACAAAAAACACACGGAACAGAGCATAGGCGTCACTGCCCGCCTAATATATAGGGTGGAAAGATGATGATATAACCTTACAAATGTTGCAGTAATTAAATATTATATTTTAAAACTACCTTCTACCATACATTATAAATAATTCATAAAAATACTATTAACAAATAAATAATTTAATGAAAATAAATATCATACATGAAAATAAAATAAAGAATATAAACCAATATTTACTTCATCCCATATGTTGTTAAATTTATGGCCATAGTAGTAGATTGAGACAAAGTTTCGGCGTATGGTTTCCGCTTTGGGAAAATCGATCTTATATATACGCAGTCTAAGGCTCAACCGGGGACTGCTGACAATTCAGTCGTCATACGTATGTTAAGGTTCAAATTGGCCGGAGCGATAAACTTTTGGTGAATGTCACAGTTATAAAGCTGACCGTATCCCCGTAAACACTATAGTCCATATTATATTTGTATTTGTCAATTGAATTTATTTATAGTCTGGCAACCATTTAACGGCGCTGCAAATTAAACGGAGACCGCGTTCGAGGCTTACCAATGTCATAGTTGCCGTATGAATTATTTATAACGATATTAAATATCAGCGATGTGGGAACAGCGTGGACGGCTCTACTTTTGAGAACGCTGATTCTTTACGGTTATAAATTGATTGCCAAATTATTCCAGTACTTACCAATAGGTTCGATTATCTTATGTAGTAATTATGCTATTATAATTACATACGTTTAAATTAATTAAGAAACTCTGATGACATCGAATTTGTTGTTTCTTCCGTGTTTTATGAATAAGTTTAATCAATTTCAATAATTTTGTAAAAGATACCCTAATGGGAAGGGCATATTATAATGTTGAAGAATACATTCATGCAAGTCCCAGTATAAATGATTCGTTGGTTAAAAAAAAGAAGTAACAAGACCGCAGATTTTCTTGACGGTTCTTCTCTGGTCTATTTTAGTGAACCGGTGGTATTTTTAACGTTCAATTATAGCTTAAATGAAGCCTATATTGAATAAAACAATGACCTTGAAGTGTACAAACGTAATCATTAAGTAAGCGTCAGCTTAATTAATCCAATAAGATTTTTTGAAACAATATCTTGAAATATCGAGACCCGACGAGAAGATCGGATTTTAGACCAAGAGACATTACTTAAACGTAGCAGCGCTACGCGGTGTTTAGTTACGGCCGAAGCTAACGTAGCACGGTCGTAGCAAAAGGATCTTTTAATAATGAGATGACAACAGTAACACATTGATATTGATTCAGTTGTATTTATAACTGTTAAATAATAATTAGTGTAGAAACTCTTTTAAATAGAAAATGTATAAATTAATCATTATAAAAGTTTGAAGCGAACGTAAAAAAAAATGTTTTTGTTTCATTTATGTTTTAATCCCCGACGTTTCGAGCTCTTTATTGTGCCCATAGTTACGAAAAGCGATGTTTACGGAGATGTTTTACCTCCTAAAGAATGTCATAGTTAATCCGGCCGACCGTCAACTTTTTGATAATTTATTTTGTCTGTTAAACGCTGTACGAGTTTGTAGTATCTTTAAGCCTTACAGTATTGTTTTTTTTCCAGTTGGCAAACGAACAGGAGGTTCACCCGATGTTAAGTGGCTAGCGCCGCCCATGGGTCTCTACAACAACTTTGCAACAACGATCGTTGGCAACGCATCTGCATTAAGGTTTCAGAGGCTTTGCAGATGCATTGCCAACCATTTTGAAAGTTGGCCCCGGTATCCTGACACATCAGACCAAACACAAAGGTTAATTTCAACTTCGCGCCGATCTTCCATGGGGGTATGGTACTTCCTCGGACGAGCCTGCACATTCGTGAAACGGCAGAGCATTGTTCGTCGCCCTAGCATATTAAAAAGAGGAGTTTATTTCGCTATATATTTTTTCTGTTTGTATTAATAGTAACGGTTAAATGCAAAAAAAATAAAGAGTTTGTATAAAATCAATTTATCAGCAAAATTGATTATTTAAATTGATTTTAAATGTTCAAAATGTATCAATTTCTTAATTTCAAAAAACAATTTCCTTTGACTGAAACTGATTTTTGTGGCTATTATAATATTAATAATTATTTAAATGAAACAACACAATGAATCATCGTATAATATAATATTATAATATCCATCCGTGCGAGTTTCGTATTGTCGTACCATAAACATACACGTTAAGCGAACGCTCGGCCGAGCTATATGGTAGGGCGGAGTGGGCGTGTTAGGTTTTATTTTCGTTACGGAATTTCTCGATTAGCCACGCTCAAAGCCCGCTATATAAGCTATGCAATAGCTTAAAAATATTTAAGTAGTATACAACAGAAAGGATTTTTTTGCTACTTTTATAGATAAAGGTACGGAACCCATCGTGCGCGAGACCAACTCGCTTGGCCGGTTTTTCGTTATTGGTTATTCATTATACAGTCTATTCCCTCAAGCCGCAAACAATTCATTTAACGTACAATAAGAAACTCCTTTCCAATAAAAAAGTAATGTACTTCGTACTTTTATGACTTATTCTAAGCTATCCAAAGAATCAGTTAATAAAATAATAATAATAATAATAATACCATAATTCCCATCATACATTCAAAATATACTGTAATTGTATTTGTCATTCCTTAGGACTTTTTATTTTGTTTGTTAATGGATTTAGCTAAAGGGTAGCCTAGCGTCAAGGAAATAGGCGTTTATTTCACTTTGCGATCTATTGTATTCAATATTCACTTACTTTAATACTGTCTCACACGTGAAGGTAGTATAGGACATTTTTTTTCAATATATACTTTTCAGGAACACCGTAAATACCTTGAATTGTAAATTTATAATTCCCTTTAGTGTTTTACTTTATTATATTCATGCTGTTCTTTTCCTTTTAATTTCGGAACCTTTTAACCGACTTCAGAAAGAACGAGGTTATGTAATTACTATTTTCATACATTTTTTAAACTCTATATTTAAACTTCATATTCTACTACCGCCAATCTACAAAATTGTAACCATAGCCTATATTGTAACTGTGGTAGGGCCACGCAGCAGCCTCCGCTGTTGCACGAATGGTACTCGTCCGGGTAAGTACCACGACCTCACAGAAGACCGGCAGCAAAGTGGAAGTATAATACTTTTGCGTTTCGTCTGGTGAGCGAGGGGCCGGAGCCCAATTTTCAAAAGGTTGTCAGCGCATCTGTAACCCTCCTTTAATTCCTAGACTTGGCTCTGTGGGGTCCAGCAAAATGAAATTTTAAAGAATTATGCCCTCACCTTTGAAACGTGATCACTGTTAAGAATTTAAAAACTGCTTACCCAAAGGATAAGTATACCTAAAACTGTTTTCACATGATCAGTTTTTTGGGAAGTGCAATTTTGTGTATAACGTAAAATAAAACGTTAATTATAAAATGGGTAAAGTGCATAGAATTTGTTACGTAATGATTTTCACTCGGCATTGCATTTACGGCCGATTGGACAGACAAACGCGCCATAGTTATCCGTCATTAAAATTTTTAAACGCCCCGGCGTCCACCTACCTCCTGTCGATTACCATTTTATTAATCCCGAACGCTAATTATATTTAAACGGGACGAAATGCCGCGCGTTAATGAAACCGTTCGCCGTGTTACCTCGGATATATTTAACAATCCAGGCCCATTATAAATATTTCATTTCGATATCGTTTCAATATGGTGTTAAAATATGCGCATTATAATTGGACGGTGTTCTTAGGTTTCGACGGATGTATAGTGAGAGAATGCCGATTTTAATCTTTTATATTGTTGAAAACATAAATGAAAGACAAAGCAATTTCTTTTCACTAATCGGTGACATCGTTTAATGTTGCGCCAAGATTAACTGCGAAGTAAGGGTTTTTTTTAAAATGAAAGTTTGTGTTTGGGCACTCGTCCATACGTATGAGTACTCACTCGTAAATATTGTCTTAACGCCACTAAGTGCTGAGTGGATCTGAATAAAGTTATAAATCTAGATAGCTTAGTACTCAGATCCTGCTTCGACCAACTCGTAGTTCTTTTAAAAATCACTGTTCTAGTTCGATAAATTAAAGTTCCGTCAATGTTAAAAAATATGTTATCAGTTTTATGTATTTTGTTTTGCGACATATTCAGATGATGTTAAAAGTAGAAGTGAAGTATGTAGCTAGTCGTAAATAATCAAAGCTTTAAGCTCTCGTTCTATTTAGATGAGTGGACGATGGATGCTATATACGAAAATAGAATGCATATCGCATCAGTGGCGTGCACAGATAATCACGGAAAGAAATGGCTTAAAGTAAAGTTATCATTAACAATTAAGTAACATCTGTAAATGATAATCCTTACTTATATGTCTGGCCATCCATACATACAAACATCCATATGTTTCTTACTCTTTCACGTAAATACTACTGAATGGATTTTAATGAAACTTTACAATAATATAGCTTATACATCAGAATAAGATATAGGATATAATTTATATACATATTTGATGTATATCTGTCTTTCTGTCTGAATATTTTGCTTTTAGCCTATTCTTCGCAGACGTAGTCGCGGGCAGCAGCTAGTAATTATAAACGCCAAAGTTTGTATGTATGGAGAGATGTTTGTTACCCTTTCACGCAAATGCTACCGAGTGGATTTTAATGAAACTTTACAATAACATAGCTTTTACATCAGAATAAGACGTAGGCTATAATTTATATATGTATTTTATGTATATCTGTCTGAATCTTACGCCTTCAGCCTATTCTCCGCAGACGTAGTCGCGGGCAGCAGCTTGTCTTTAATATAACGCGCGGCTATACGTATAGGTTATGAATGCTTGTATTGAGTGCGCACGTCTGTGTCGCATGCAACGTGTACAAATTAGATGCAATGAGCTCTCGATCGGGGAATGATGCACAACAGATGTCGCTAATCCGATTAAGAGACAGCGCGACTGGCGGCGGCATACAGACGTGACTAAATGACGCGCTTGTTGGCCCATGTGGCGCATGGATAAGCCAACTCTCCACTGGGCTGGCTATCTAGCTGCTGTTGGCTTCACGACGAAAACTTGCCGCGCCCAAAGCTACCACCGTTCCGTGATACGAAAACGGCTGGAAAATTCACGCAGGTAAAATTATTCAGTGGATTGCCCTCTGCACTCACTAAATAACTCAATTTCTCTATGGACTAAACTTAATCAATATCTCAGACTAAGACTTAAAGGTACCTTTTTGTTTTCATTTGTAAATTTATTTCAAGTGGAAAAAATTACTTAAAGGTTATACCTTTAAGTAATTTTATAAAAATGAATAGATGTATATGCCACTAGCCTGCTAATATGATTAAATAAAAAAAATTGCTTTATCAATTAAAAAAAATGATAAAATGTCTTTTTCTATATATTTTTTTTTGTGAAATTTTTCGCTTCAAAGACGTCAAAGATAACGTTGGAGTTGCAAAGAGGCAGGCATCGACGCGGTATGAGTATATAGCGTTGACATGTTTTTCATGTGAAAAGGTGGCAAGTGAGCTAGCAATTCACCTGATTTTAAGTGATAACCGCCGCCCAAGGACATTTGCAACACCCATAGGGTTGCAGACGCGTTGCCACCTTTTAATAAATTGGGCCCCGGCTACCTCACTCACTAGACAGTTCTTCTTTGGCATGTCTAGTTTAGTGAACCGGTGGTAGTTTTTTACGTTCAATAGGACCTTAAACTACGTCTCTGTTGAATAAAGAAATTTTGACTTTGACTTCCACTTCATGCCCGTCTTCTGTGAGGCCGTGGTACTTACTCCGACGGACCTGCCCATTCGTGCAACAGCCGAAGCTGTGGTACGCGGGCTTGCAAGTGTTTTATTTTTGATAATTATTATTTCGAAAATTTGCAGGTTTCCTCACGATGTCATCGTTCACCGCTGATCACGTGATAGGTCAGCACTTAAAATTTGCAACTGCATTGGTGTCGGGACCGGGGATCGAACTCAGGCTCATGTATTGAGCGCCCGGCCAATGGGCTATCGCGGTTACGTTGAATGTTTTCTCTTAATTTTAATTAAAAAAAACCCTTTGAAGCTGTTGGCAGACTCGTGTGATCGGAAACGGGTCAAGAATTAGGGATAAACGCGTTAGGCGACAGTAATTCTCTGTTTAATTGATGAGGCGAGCGCATTCGCAGGCACGCCCGCTACACGCGAGGGTCCGATGCAATTTGTCATCTGTCGTGAATTAACGCTTAACAGGGCCCCGCCACCTAATGTGACATCACTCGCTTGGTGACTTTCGACCTCCCTGGATGAGTACGTCGCGAACAGGTCGGGAACACTATAGTGTTCCCGACTATAGCCCGTCACCTTAAGTACATAAAAATGTGTGGCCTATAATGTATATCACCTTGGTGATAGGACTAAAACATAACCATTGGCAAAAGTTTTTTTTAATATGATAGACAAATTTGAAAGCGTTTCAAACTACTATTTCAGTTCTGTGTCGGCATTCCAACTTATTAGGCGGGGCTGAAGAATACAATGAATAAATAGCCTAATTAGATGGACATACAACCTTAGAGCTCGTAAACAGTACCGGAACGTGTTAAAAGCAGCTGCTACTAAATATTATGTTACACATTTTAATTGTGAACATTACGTGATGAAATACCAAATGCGGAATTTTTAAGTTAGGACTAGTGGGACCATTGCTTTGCCTCTAATAAATTCAATCAATTGAAATGGCGTTATAGTTTATCTTTGGGTTTGGAATCCATCAGTCATCTCGTCCGTCTATCGTGACTTTTTATAACAAAAATAATTGAACAAAACAACGTCTTTGACGTCCCGAATAGTTCCCGACCGATCCGCGCGTTGCTCCAAATTAATATCGCTAAAGCCTTTCGTAATAAAAGAGCAAATTCCACCCCGGCGCCCATCCCCATTGAGATAATCAGCCCCGGCTAGGATCACGGCACCTGTTACAACTGGCGGCAAGGACGCCCTATTGGTTCCACTATAATAAATTACACCGGGCTCTGCCCCAGCGCGGCCGCGTCCGGGACCCACGGGGGTCCAAATGCCCCGATAGAGCGGACGCCGAATTTGTTTAGATTTATAAAATCCGATTAATACGATTCGAATGCATGTAATAGGTAAGCGTAAAGGTCCGCGCGCGGAACAAATAAATCACTCTCGCACGTACATACGGTACGGCGAACCTTATTTACATTTTCGTTACATTTTCGCGACTTGTTTTATCGCCTGCCCATTTGATTAAATAATGCGAATAATTTGCGACCACGACACCGCGTTGAACTGTTATGTGGTCCGTTTACAGTATTACGTTTCACGTGATGTTTCGTTATTGACATTCAAATGCAAATATCAATTGATGTCGTCTAAATAGCTGGCAACGGCTTTCCTGGCAAATACCGATCGCAGAATATCGTTGGGTCGCAGAGTAAATACTCTCAACCGAGTTTGTACATTATGTATATAGTACCTGGAGGACCGAACTTTGCTCGGTTTTTTGGTAAATCATGTATTTTGGAAATAAAAAAAAAATGAAAATAATTATCTGGTATAGAAAAAAAAGTAAATAAAAATAAGTGTGTAAATGATCGTGATACGAACCGCGGCCGTCTGTTTTGGGGCCGCCCTATTACCGACCGAGCTATTATAACATTTTTTTTGCGGCGAAATTTACCGTTATATTCGAATGATATTTTTCATTCTTATGCAAATTCGGGGGTTTCCCACGAATCCAGTTTAAACATGAACACTTTTTTAAGTCCCAAGAGTAAAATTCGTATCTTATTTGTTTAACTATTATTTCATGCAGCTTTTAGAAAGAGCATTTAGTACACGGTGGAATTAATACCAAAAACTTGGCAATATGTTAATTTAAAGGAGTTGGATGGGATAAATATTAATTGTATGCAGTCGACATTTTTACGCTTAATTTGATCACTATGCAATGCCTTTCTCTTTTTTTTATGATGTTTTATTTTTATGGGGATATCAACAAAGATACGCCAGACCTATAAATGTCTTTCTTACTTTTAGTAGGCATTTTTATCTAATAATTAGTTCATGGAGACGTTTTAAATGAGCTTTCCGCAACGTATTATTTTCAGCTTCATAGCGAAGTAATAGACGGCTGTCTTAAATAGTGAAATCTCTGATTATTATTTTAATCATTGTTTTATAATAGGTTATATCATTAAAATTTGTAGAAAAAGTGCGAAAAGTTTGTCGCCGCTGTGGGACCCACGTCGTCGAGATTCGCGCCCTGACGCTTTAGCCTCTAAGCTAAAAGTCTGATTTATTTCATTTTATTATCGTATTTTTTTTTAAATCTTAGGCAATAGTCAGTTTCAAACTAGCCAAACTATATTATTGATGTAACTTTATATGATCACATAGTATAATAGCTAGATCAATTTTAATATTAGATAGGTTTCTACTGAGCTAGCGCGCTTACCATCAACGGCTGCATCGCCACTTACCATCAGGTGGGATGGCAGTCAAGTGCTAGTCAGTTTTTGAATTAAAAAAAAAAGATAATATGATAACAAGTTACCTTTGAGATGTTTTACTGCTTCTTGGCAATAGGTAGTTCACAAAATTTCCTTCAATTTAATCCACAATCTCAATTAAATGGGAGATCTTAATCGTTACCGGAAAATTTTTATTTGACGTATCATGATCTCAGTTTGTGTTTTCATAGAAGATGAGTCATTTTGTTAGTGAAAAACTTTTTTCAATTTCTTCAAAAAAAAAATGAACAAAGAAAGACTCTCAATTTTATGGGTAAAAGGAATTCAAAAAAATGAAGAGCTCTTATGAGAGAAATGTTTGGGAATTAATTTTTGGGGCATCAAAACTTAACCTTCTCCAAACGAAAACTAAGATTCAAATTCAAGTAACGTTTAGATTCAAGCTTTGTTTTTTTTTTAATTAAGTCCATTAAAAATCAGTCATCAATCAATGTTCAGTGTTCACGAGAGGAATAGTAAACACCGGCCACTCAAGTATATGCAGTATAAGTAGCATAAAGTGATATAGTAAGAGTAGTAGTTAAGTATTTATACAATAGTAAGTTACCATTTCCCGCCCAAGTCGGTGTCGTTCTGTGTTATGACAGGGCGAAGATTTCCCCAACATCCAGGTCACGCACACAGGCGCGGCCGCGCGCTTGTGTTAGTGTATCTCTGGCGTTGCACGTGACGCCGTGTCGTCGCCGCTGCGATATTAAACCGGCGGTCCCTCCTTCTCAAACTTTCAGCCCTCTCAGTACACCCCCCTTTGTATATTTTCAATTTATGTTAGCATTATATTGCTATATTGTTATTATATATTATTGTTAGCATTCATTTGCTTTTATATTTTTTTGTGTGTTAATTTTGTGAAATTATTCTACGTGTTTAATGGCCCAAGGGCGTCCCGTATATTTATTGCGGCTGTGTTGTACATTGCAATTTTATCAAGAATAAAAAAAACAACCGCTTGCTCAATGCAAGGCCGTGTCAAAGATGACTTTTACTTATATTCACGCTCGTTTACTACTTAGTGACGTAATAAGATGATTTAATATTGTCAGGCGCGAAACTTTGGGCACATCAGGCGCTCACCCCAAGCGGAGTGCGGAGCGGCTCGGCTACATACTGCGAGATCGCGCCAGAAAAATTTAATTGTGAAATACAACCCCACCACCCCAAGCCACCCGAATCCCAACCCGAAAATCATTCCAGACTATAATTTTTTTTGGGCCCTACGCCTCTTTCGAAGCCATAGTAAAGTTTAGCCTTTGAAAGTGGAGACGAAGACTAAACTTTTATTGCATTAGTATTATTAAAGAATATGTATTTGTTTTGTGTAGAAGGGGTCGAGTAGTGTCCCGCTGATTATCTTGTATGTTATGTTTCGCTTAATTGTAATATATATATTATTATATATTAAAATAGATTCGCAGCAATCCAAAATGTTGTTAATAAGTAAAAAAAAAATATAACATCAAATCAATTTCTTAGTTGTTGTCAATGTCATAGTTTGACTTTTAAGCTAAATTGAACAATCAAAAAAAAAATTCAAAATATGGAACCAACTCGATCCATCTACTAGGGAAATTTATAAAAAGTGAGCCATTAATTTAATTTAAAAAAAAAAACAAAGATTTTTTTTAATTTCACCAATCTTGACTGTGGTTTCGGCTATCGACTTGTAATAACGACAAAACAGCATAGATACGAAGAGTTAAACGTATGGCTTATAATCGTTTTTAGAAGCCTAAACAAGTGTAAAATAGTTCATAAAAATATTATTTCTTTTTCCTTCTTGTAAGATTAAGTTATCGAAACCAGTCGATGTTCAGTCCTTCCCAAATATGCTTCTATTTCAAAGACAAACTTCTTTGCATTAGTTAAATTCCGATAGATTATATAGATATAAACAGTTCATTGTTTGAGGATTTTCTATTTCAAGTTGAATTAAAGAAAGTAATATATCTTAAGTTTAAAATACAGAGGCTGTTCTTAGACGTAAATAATAACCCATTGCTAAATAAAATGTTTGACTTTATAATGAAATAAGTATTGACTGTATAATATACGATGTGAAAACAATTCCTTCACTTTTTATAATAACAATAAAATTAATTTTCATTTATAAGTTAAAAGCAAACGGCGGCATTCGATAAATTAATTCGTGATGGGTATAAAGGTTCGTTATGAAGCGTACATTTAGTGTAAACATATACTCGCGATTCGACAAACGACAGATTTTTCATTTGTTTGAGGTACTTTGCGTGTACACTCAAACTTACTTACCTAATTAAACTTACGTTTGAGTGTACACTATATATATATTACACACTATACACTATATATTATGTATACTATACTCTATATATTACACACTGTACTCTATATATTATATATTATACTATACACTCAAACTTACGTTTACTGTACGGCTCAAAGGACCTCAAACAGCAAATCGTGAAAGTCTTCGTTTCTACGAATTGTTCAATAAACTCGTTCAATAGTAAATTGTTTATGTTGGCTCGTCGCAAATAGTCATATACAGAATGGTGAGTTTGAAGATGCGACATGCTACTGGCTGTAGTACGGAACCGATTCCCGCAAAAATTAAATCGATGTACACGATGTGTTTCAAAACGTTAAGTTTCAAACCTGACGTTAAGTGTAAGTAAGCCGCCTACGGACATCTACATCTGAGGAGTAACACATGCGTTAGTAACCTTTAAAATATGTACCCCTCTTAACTTAACTCGAAGCCTAACGCGAAGCACAAAAGTGTGCACTAACACTTCACGCCGGTCTTACCCAGTGATTCTGCCAATCCGTGCAACAGACGAGGCTGTTGCGAGACTCTACCACAGTAGTAGAGTCATGCAAGCAGGGCATTATGTCGTATTCAGATAACTGATGATGAATCCATCGGCCCAGCAATTTAGATTGGCTATTAGGCAGGAGTTTGTGATGGTAAATAGTTTAAGGAGAAATTTTCATTTGCCTCTATAATGGAGTATTTGATTAATTGCCGCACGGCTACGGCACTGCTGGAATCCATTCGCATTATTGCGATAACTTAAAACGTACTTTCTTAATAGGTTGATTTACTACGAGTATATCCTTACTTATCCTTACTAATATTATAAAGGCGAAAGTTTGTATGTATGGATGGATGTTTGTTACTGTAATCTAAAGCATTCTCAAATCGACCTGAAGACAAAAACTTTCGTTAAAATCGGTCCAGTCTTTTAGGAACAGTTCAGTGACATACACACGTACTGAAGGGTTATATATATATATATATACATACACACACACACACACACACATATATATATATATATATATATATATATATATATATATATAGATGTAAGCTGTTTTTCAATTATTTATTGTACCTTTGAAAGAGTGTACTCTTTTTATAAGATTCTAATCTTATTAGTTATCTTATCTATTTATATATAAAAATGAATAGCTATTTCCCTTGGTCACGCCATCACGCGTGATCGGCTATACCGATTTCACTTTCTTTTGTTGTGTTTGTTATAATCACGAGAATGTTCTTATGAAAGAAAAGATTAAAAAAAAATTTGCCTGAAAAAGTCTAAAAACAACACTTTTCTATATTCCTGTACCAAAGATTCGTAATAATACCTAAAAGTCAATTTGAACTTTAATACTATACCATAAAGTTTAAGTGTTAGTGGAAGGGTTCCGGGAACGCAACACAAGTGAGTGACTGTGGTAAAATGTCACTTCAAATGTAAACGTCTCTTTGCTGTGCATCGCTACATAGTATAAAATAAAGTCGTCCCGCTGTAAATGTCGATACTATAAGAATGATTTGATTATATCGTGAAGTAACATAGTATAAAACAAAGTCGTCCCGCTGTCTGTCTGTCCCTATGTATGCTTAGACCTTTAAAACTACACAACGGATCTTGATGCGGTTTTTATTACTAGATAAAGTGATTCAAGAGGAAGGTTCATATGTATAATACATTGCACTCGTGCGAAGCGGGGGAGGGTCGCTAGTTAAATATAAATTCCAAAACATCGTAACGCAAATAAAAAGATGATTTGACAGGAAAATGTTTAGGATTATTTTAACAATGCGAGTTAGTGAAAAGAAAAGGTTGAATTGACATCACGATATTCGCCACCGTGATATTATTTATCCCAGTTAGCCCCTTTGGCGGGCTGCAACACGTGTGCCTAGGAATGTGCAGGGGCCCCAGCGTCAGTGCAGACGGCAGGGGGCTCACAATATGTCCCCCTGCTTGCATATTGGCCTTAATAATAGCCCAATTTTGCGGGGACGAATATAATTAATTAATGCGTATCGGTGACAATAAAAAAGCAACGCAATCAGGTGGCCCCCGTGGCTGGTGCATTCGATTTACTATTCAAGTCATTGCAGGGAAATGTTTGCCCTAATATTTATGTCTTTGTTCTAAATTCTTATTTTTAAAATTTCTATCTCTCTTATTTCTTTATTACGATTGGCCTGTCGGATACGGAAAAAATGGTCATAGAATGAACAGAAATAGTTTCAATTATCATACTTGAATAGTACCAGTACGAGTAATCGAATACGAGTCAGTGGTTTAGTTATCATCTTTTATAAATTATATTAATTATTGTAAAGGGATGCTTTCTTAAGGAAAACTATCTTTCGCGCCTTCTCATATTAGTAGAAGTGGACTGAACTGTGGAATTGTGAACATGGTTTTATTCAATCGCCTCACACTTGGCCGGTTTTTTTATTTTACATTTAGAATTAGTTAAGTACACTTTGAACTTCAGTGCTTTTTGCTTTAAAGCATTAAAACGCGTGGAACGGGGCCTAAGTTACTGCTTCATACAAATTTATTGGTCCCGAATGGGTCTACCGAGCTTAACGTTCGACAAAGTCATTGTTACCTCACTTCCCCTTTGTCGTCGAACCTCCTCTGAATTTAATATAGCAAATGCTTACGTTAATACATATATTTTGCGCAAGAATTTAATTTAAATTATTACTTATTTCAGTAAACCTCAAGTGAATCTAGTTTATATTCACTTTATGTAGTAGACACACGCAAAGAAATTTCGAGTATGGTATAAATTTCGGCTAAGTAAGACCACCATCTAAGTAAGACAGGATCTACTGAAACTGGCGGCGTGGCTTTCCACGTGTGAGGCGCAACTTGCTATCGGAAAAATCAATCGCTCGTTTCTCAACTTATAAAGGAAGCTTTGTTCTTACAACGGACATTAATGTGTTTTTTTTTAATTTCCCTCTTCTTTTCAACATAAACGGTTGTTTATTGAAAATGTTGCATTTAATGAATCACTGGTGACTAAGGAATCATCCAAAATAGGTCTTTAATTTGGATTTTGGTCGAATAAGAGAATATACCAAGTATAAAGGAATATTCCAATGTATAAAGTAGCCTATTTCACTGTCCGGCCCATAAACATGTGTTATATTGTAAAAGTGACTTTGATTATTTGCTTCGTTGCTGTGTGGATACAGACAAATATAATTAAATTACACTTTCGCGTTTATATCTGAGTAGGGATCAGAAAACCTCAAATTATGTAGATAAACGAGTCATCAAAGGTTTCATTTCGATATTAATAACAAACGTATTTCATGCAGGTGAAAATGCAGTGGAAACATTTTCTGTTTGTACCGCAATTATTAGAATGTTTCCATGTAACAAGCTAAATTAATATATTTAATCGAATTGATAAAGCAATTAATACGTTTCTGCAATTGCGATAGTACGTTCGTTGCGTTTGTTGAAATACTACGTTAATTGAAATACCAAAAGGGTATGAAACGGCAAAATAAACGAAATATTAGAAACATGATTGTTGGCGCTGGTAACACTGTATACCGGATATGACGTTATCTTCTCGAGCCAAGGGACACATGGTCGCATGGAGCAGTGGTCACTTGGATTTCGGCTGCGTTCTCGGACGGTGATATAGCCACTAGTGCTGCTTGTCGTTATAATAGTTGTTAATATTCAAGTTCAGTAATAGTTAAAATATTAGAATGAAGGTAAAAACGTTAGAACTCTTATATGATACATATTTTCGATATCATCTTGGTTTTATGGACTCGATTGATTTCTCATGTTTTTTTTTCTAAAGTACGCCAGTAAAAACATTTATTATTGTTTTTTTTTGTATACGTAAGAAGGTGGCAAACGGGCTGGCGGTTCACCAAATCTTATGATCATATGCAAACCCCCTAGGATTGCAGATGCGTTGCAGTCTTCACTGTTGCACGAATGGGTTCTTGCTCTGTTGGCTGTTGCAGGTCCGTCCGGGTAAGCACAACGGCCTAACGCTATGGTTGTGGCGAACGTCAATGGGCGGCGGTTATCACTTAACATCAGTTGAACCGTTAGCTCGGTTGCCAACTTCTGCCATAAATTATACATAATTTTTATGTACGCACTTAAAAAGTAATACTCCTTTAGAGTTGTATAAGAAAAATAATTGAAAACTGTGTAGGTAAATCTCAAAAAGTTGTTATTGATTAATTGCCATTGCAATAAATCAATAACCAACCAGTTGGTTCAACCAACTTTACGGTAATGCATTTTTTATGTGACAAAGAGGCGAACGAGCTGTTTCACCTGATTTTTTGGGTTCGGTGTGCGCGCGAATCGTAAAACTTTCACAGTAATAATCGGTTACCGAACGCGCCGAAAGAATTATAACTTAAGAAACGCAACGATTGTTTACGTTGTCTGTCAAACGACGGACGATGTAAACAGAGTACAGACTGACACGGAGGGATGCCACGCCGATTTCACAGCGTCATCGAATTTTCACGGAGCAGCGTTACCTACCTTTGCCCAGCTCCGGACGCGTCTTATGGTGTGACCACGCGATAGGAATGACCAAGACATGGTCGCTTAAGAAAATATAAGTTTATTGCGCATTAATAAACACCTACATACGGATGAGTATGACGTGGTGCTTAAGGCAAGAAATAACCTTTTACCTTTGTTTAAAAATTAAAAACACTTTGGATAAATACTTGGTCGAGTCCGTTTTAAATTTAATCTATAAGATATATATCCGTCAAACATTCGTATATATCTGTCATCAAGTTAACATTAATTTAATATTAAACGAATGTCTCATCAGTTCAATGAACTATGCTCATGACAATTCAATATTAAGGTCAACAGAAATGTTCTTAAAGAATATTTTCGATATCATCGAGTAGTAATGATTTTTACTATTGTAGAAGTTGATTATATAAGAACATGTAAAAACTATTAAGCAAACTAAATTCTTTTTTTTTAAGTACATATTTCTAGAAACCCTAAACGAAACTTATTTCAAGAGATACTGATATGTTGAGATTCATTCCGTTTATAGCGGCTGACCGTAGTTCAGATTCGTTAGGATTTCCTTCGTTTCAAAATGGTTGACATTATAACATGTTAATGAAATAAACGACTGTTGATTTTCTTTCACGAGAGTGGAATGCGTTTCAATATGTATCAAATTGGAATACATTTATTTACATTACAATGCGAAATTTAAAAACACTTCAGTTGATATCCCTCGCGGGGCGCAACGTGTGGTAGCCCCGAACGCATTACTCTCCACGGTCCCTCCCATTTGGGCAAGGGATCAGTCACGGGGCGAGCGCGGGCTGAAGGGGGTTACAGGGGGGAGGCTAACGAGCCGTGGCGCATTTCGCGCGATGTCACGCTTTGACAGACAATTAGAGACGCAAACGCATGCGCGGGCGCGTCCCTAAAGTTGCACCTTGCTAATAAATTGTAATCATTACGTCGCGAATCAAACTGGAACGCTCCCGTTTATATGATTGTTTCCGTCGCTCGTGTGACAGGCTTATCGGCCACACCTGCAGTGTTCAACGCTCCATTGTATGAGTCTGATGTTGCACCAAACTACCCTACTGAAAGTAGCGGATGAAATAAGGCTCGTGGATTGTGTGTCTCTTTTGATTTTATGTTTACCTTTTTTCAATTGAACTAATACTGGAGACTTAGTTAAAACTTCAAACGCGGGAAAAGTAAGGGACACTCAGAATTCGCCCACGTGAGGTTTGCGAGAATAGAAATTTTCGATGCGTTAATTTGTCCGTCTTAATTATTTTTAGACGAGGCTCCTAATATATATTGCTATGATATAGAATAATGTAATGAACAGTGTGATCTTTTTTCCAACTCCGAATACTTCTTTTCTCTGTATAAACTGCTTTTGAGAAGGGAATTGCGCAAAGACATTGAGATTCCATTTCAACATTTAATTGTACGTTATACAAATACTTTCGCAGAGAGAGAAAGGGAACTTACTGGCTTGACGCATTCTATAAGCTATTGAACTATTTAATGCCATCAAATGGCTATTTTTCGTAGCAATAGCATTAAATATGTTAACTAAGAAGAGCCTGTATTGTTCCTAACACAATAGCTGTGGTGGATAGCGCTGCCTAGGAATCCGACAAATGTTCTGCGACAGGTGGACCATGCTACGGTGACCATAACGCGGACATTACCTTGTCGAACAATCCAATTTATAACTAAAAAAAATACAAATACACGACTGATATGAAAAACTATTTAGAATAGTGGATAAAAATAAAATAAATATATCTTTAAAGTCCCTTGCGGTGTTCGAGAACGATCAGAATTGTAACAGCTTGTACTGTCTCTTTGATTTTCACATTTCTAGAGTTCAATACAAAAGACGTAAACTGTTTTTTTAGTAAAGCGCATAATTTAAAACCTCTATGCATTACCTATGTACATAGACGTGTTACTATATAACCCGAAGGCTCAAAATCTCTTGAGCCCTGTGGTCGTCTCTCAAAATTAAAAACAAACCCGTTTCGTATTTGGAACGTCCCGCGCTCAGTGCGCCGTTGTCACCCGACGCGGCCGCACGTGCGCCACCCCGGCAGACGCATAAATTCCGTTTACGCATTGTGCCACGAGGCTGCCCGCCCCCACCGCGACATATTGCCGCAAAATATTCGGTCGCGCACGTCATCGCACAACGCACTGATGCATTTCAACCGTCCCGTTCTCATTCCCGTGCTATTGCTTTTTAGTGGGGCCGAGCAGAGTTGTAAATGAAACAAAAACGCGCAAGCATTCTCCCTGCAATTCGAAAGAGAGATGAGACTTATTAAGCACTGCCAGTTTCATTGAATTCGCGAATATCCATTGCCGCTTTTTGATTTAAATAAGATTGGTAGCTGTTTTTTTTGTAAAAACATAAATGGTATCGGCTCAGGTTTTCTGTTACTTTCTCAATAATGATTACAAGTTAAACCATCCTAGAGTGAAGAACTTTATAAAATTATATTGTCTATGGACAATTCAACTAAGAATTAGGGTTAGTTCCTAATTCTTAGTTGAATTAGCTTTCATTGCAGAGACTATAATTATTATAAAGCGGTCCATCTAATATCAAAGTCGAATAGCGAAATAGGATGGGAAATCCGGCGATTTCATTTGCTCATATTGTTTACAGCTTTACTAAGCTATTAAACAACGGCTCTTGCCAACGAGAAAGCCAAAATAAAATTGGAAACGTTGATAAAGTTATGCTGTTATTAATAGATAATCATCTTCCTATTATGCTTCTCTTTTCTCTCCACGTTCCTTTAATTATCCTAGTAACAATAAGTATTAATCAATACTTGGTAGATAGGTGATAGAGTTCGCAACGAAGACATCCTTAGTAGAACAAAAGTGATCGACATAGCTTAGAAGGTTAGCAAACTGAAGTGGCGGTGGGCCGGCCATATAGCTAGTAGACTCGATAACCGCTGGGGAAGAAAGGTTCCCGAGTGGCAGCCTCGAACTGGCCATCGTAGTGTGGGACGACACCCCACTAGATGGAGTGACGACCTGTGCATATATTCGGGAAGTCGACGGATGCAGGTGGCTGGAGATCGTGCTTCATGGAAGTCTGCGGGGGGGCAATAAGAACGAAAACGGTTCGACATATAAAACGATTTATGGTTTTCTCAAAACGCGTACCACCGCCGACATTTCACTTTCACCGCGCGTCCGCGTAAACTTTCCCACGTTCGATATTGCGATTCGTTGTAAAGTATGCGTATGTGACGCGTTTCCAGTTCCCCGCGTGGCGTCCTCCCGAGCGGAGCACTCGATGCAGTTTAATGGAATGCTTGGAAGTGGCACAATGGTACCTCGCCGAATTTAGCCTAGCTCGTCGACTAGCGGACGATTAATGCCAACTGCACAACGTAATTATCATAGAATCTGTTGAAACAGATGTACTGGTATTAATGAAAGCAAGATTGGGAAAGAAATAACAGTTTAGAGGAACATTAATGAAGTTTTTAAATGGTACCATCATTTAAAAACTTAAACCGCTCCTTTGTTTTGTAGCGACCAATAATAAATTTGGATAACAGAGAAAAATCAAACGGGATTTATTATGTTCATTAACATCGTATTATTTATTTATTAGCAGATCTATTGCATTTTATTAGTACTTTATTGTTATAGTAGTTCAATATAGCTTTCCGATTTCAGTAGTAACTAAAATAACAGCCTATACATGTCTCACTGGTGGGCAAAGGCCTCCTCTATACAAAGGGTATCAGGGCATAGTCCACCACGCAGCCACACTGCGGATTGGCTGACTTCTTTCTTGGATCTTCGAAATATCTTTTTTTTGTTATTATTTCGAAAATATGCAGGTTTCCTCACGATGTTTTCCTTCACCGCGGAGCACGTAATAAGTCAGCACTTAAAGTTAAAAACTTCATCGAACTCAGGTAGCTCGAGTATATTGAATTAAAGGCGGGCGCCCGAACACTGAGCTATCACGGCTCTTCAGATTTTAATAGAGGGTATTTCAAATAAGTCAAGATGGCAAAAGCACGGCTCTCTTAACATTTCACTAGCTCTACCTCACAAACTTCCACGGAAGCCGATTACAAAAATCATTCCTACACCGATCGTGAAGACTAATTTTGGCCTTAATTCACTTTTTGTAAGAATTTGCAATGAGCTTAATACATTTTTTACTTGTGCTGAATACTCCATTTTTAACTAATCACTGTGTGTCTACAGAAAGAAAGTATGAGTGTACTACTCTTTCGTTAAAATATTTTATTAATTTTTTAATTTTAATTGCTAGCTTATTCTTGGTTTTATTTTTAGAAAATGTCCTTTTATCCCTATTTTCGGGGAATGAAAAATTTTTTTTTATTTCCAAAACACATGATTAAAAAAAACCGAGCAAAGCTCGGTCCTGCAGGTACTGTGTACATAATATAAGGTTGAATGTTTTTCTTTTTTTTTTCTTTTTTGTAAGTTGTGTATGTTATGTATACTGTGGTGTGTCTATAACAATAAAAAAAGGAGCGGTCCGTACCATAAGAGTTGCAGGAAGGTTTTTGAGATGATAGTCCTCCCTTTACCTAACTAGCTGAACAAAACATAATAATCTGTGTACTTCCACGTACATTTAAACATTCTGGAACGCATTACATATCTTGTGCAATTACAGCCGTAACTGTCCGGGGAACTCGATATACTCGAGCAATCTGAGTTCGATACCCGGCACCAATGAAATTGTTAATTTGAAGTGCTGATTTATCACATGCTCAACGATGAAGGAAAACGTAGTGAGGTAATCTGCATATGTTCGAAATAATAACGAAAAAAATATATTGCGAAAATGTATACAGTCCATCAAACAGCGCGACAGCGTGGTGGACTATGCCCTGATTACCTCGCTTTGTGTAATTACTAGAGTGGTGTACGAGTGTTTTATATTACATTTATTAATTGAAAAAAATTGTTTCTCTCCTTGGCTATCTGTGTTGAATTTGTTGTATCTGTTATAATAAACGCTTATTGAAATTAATTGTTCATATATTAAATGGTTCATGGGAAATATTATATTTATCGTTATTATATTTTCTCTTGTAGTCAGGAGAGAAGACTTTTTACTTCTATACTAGTATTATATTAATTATGAAAAATGTAAGTGAATGAATATTGAAAGATTGCAATTCTTCAATATTCCGGACGGCGTCGCTCTATGTAGGTTTTATTAAAACATTAATAAATTTCTTGTAAGAGAGAGGTTACGGAGGGGACTTAAGGCCGTATTCTCCGCTCCGGACGTAAAGTTCTGCTTATAATGGTGACCTCTGTACCATTATCACTTTATTCAATATATCGATATATTTTATTGCTCCCAGGGTTACCTCTTGGGAGTACTTAATGTTTTTCTTCATTTAATTGAATGAAAATGTGTCACAATGAATTTTTCTTTGTAGTCTAAATGAAAGTGAGCAGAGGCAAGCGTGTGACTTATGAAGAGTTCGGTTCGCAAATTTAAGGCTTTTTCACACAACTCACATATTTTTATGCAAATAAATTTAGCTTTCGTATGTTTGTGTCCACGTAAACAAAGAAAAAAACTAGCCAATGTATTTGCTTGATATTTGTTCTGCACATAGCTTTTGGAACAGGAGAGTGTTTTGATTTTTACTTTTTATTCAGATGCTCTAAAGTAAATGAAATAAGTCACAGTTAAGCGTGGCCGGCTTCAGCTAATAGTGTATTCATGATAATAATATTTGTTGAAACTATTACGGTTTAAAACGTCGGCTCGTCCGGGTAAGTACCACGAACTCACAGAAGACCGAAAGTGGAAGTATGAAATACATTATTTGCTTATAAATATATTTCGCGTTTCGTCTGGTGAGTGAGGGAGCCGGAGCCCAATTTTCAAAAGGTTGTCAACGCATCTGTAACCCTCGGGTGTAGCAGATGTCCATGGGCGGCGGTATTCACTCACCATCAGGTGAACCGTCTGCTCGTTTGGCAACTTTTCACATAAAAAAGAACATTTCAGGAGATATATGGGCCTCATAAAAATATTGTTTTGCTTGTAATCAACTATATGAACCTATGAATGTGACTTACCTAACCGGACTTACATTCCTAAGTACAACACCCTCGTTAACAACTTTGAGCACATTGCTGACACCAAATCGACAAGCGGTATTGGATATTGAATATATTCGATCTTCATCTTGTCTATTGAACATAAGAACCAAAGCCGCAGAGAGACACTGTTCAGGTCATTGAGCATAGTACTAAGGTCCTTCAGTGCTTCTGTTACAGACTGTCGTCGTCAGTTCGAAGGTGATTCATCAAGGGCTAGTTTGTTGTTAGTTGAGTTTGCAATTCCGCATTAGAACAATCGACGTAACTCTGAAGTTTCGAAAGTTGACTATATAAATCGCAAAACCGATAACCGTTGGGGATAAACGTTCTCTAGTGACAGCCACGTATTGAAAAACGCGGTGCAGATAGTCTCTACTACATAGTGACAATCTGTGCAAATGTGCGGGAAGTTGATGGGTGCAGGTGGCTTAGAATCTTGCTTCGTGGCAATCTGCGGGGGAGGCACATGTTAAGCAGTGGGCTCGAACAGGCTGAAATTATGATGATTATGATGAACGTGATTTATGAACAACAACATTTGTATAAATAAAACCTTTATACGATAGCCCCGTTCCAATTTCCCTAACATATTTGCGATCTTTCAATGTTGCCCAGCCTTGATACCTTAAACCAATGATGCATGTAATATGTTATCTAGTTCACAAGTACTTGCATTTTCAAATTCCATGCTTTCTATAACTTGTTTATACGTGTAAAACACTCAACCTTTCGGGTGCAGGAATACTTAAACTTTTTGTTAACACATAAGTTAACGGTACAAACAAAGAGTACAGCCCTAGCTTGCATGCGCACCAAAGCTTCCATAGGAGACTCGATAGCGAGTATTTTATCTACCCTTATCACCACTCGATAGCCGATTGCGATAAAATCGCTCCAATTGATTTCCCCGACAATAGAACTCATTTTCACGTCACTCTACCCTCCTCTACAAATTCTGTAACTTTCCCGTAACATTTTTCGATACGTCATAATTTTTTGTCAAAATTCATTGGTTATTAAATTTCTGTGGAAGTAAGTCAGGGCAACTGTGCTGTCTACGTTTGTTTCTTATTTGAATTTTTCTACGAATTCTTATTTGTATGTACTTTCAACTGATAAAATCGATA